TCTCCACACCATCCATCTATTTTTCTTTTAAAATGTTTGTGTGACGATGACGATAGAGAGTTTTAACGAGATTAGGTTCCGGGGGAATTTTCAGAAGGTAGATTGGATTTTAGATTAGATAATACCCAGAGATTTCGCCCTCATTTTATGAGGACTTTTTTGATCTGAGTTCTGGTTTCCTATAGGCGCAAGCCCCTATAGTTAATTACCCCTCCTGATAATAGGAGAGAACTTTCGATTAAAGCTAGTCGTTAAAAGGGTCGAATAGGTTATAAACCTATTGTATAATAGCAATAATTCTAAGGTTTAAATTTTGAATTTGAAAGTTTGAAATTTGGAATTTATCACCACAAACTTAAAACTGATGGTGGGGGAATGAAGATGAGACCGATCAAGATCCCATGGTTCCGTCGTCCCGGGTTGTCATGATCCCTGGTCTACTTAGTCAGAGGAGGTAGTTGACCCAACCTGACAGAAGGTACCTTGTCGGCAGCCATGGGTTGCTTCGTCCAAGAATACCTTGTAGACCTGGGTTGGTGTTTGTCTAAGGGGATATATCTGAATCCACCTTAGCTGACAAAGGATGCCTATCGAATATACCCTATGATTCATCGCTCAAGGGTTTGACGCCTTTAGGGAACATACGGGCTTTGGCCGTGATCGTAATATAATGGTGCCATTTTGCGGCAAAACCACCCGATCAGAGGGCACGTGCCACGTCCCTGTTGGCAATAGACTATTTGAGGATGAATCGTAGTGATACACCCAACATGCATTCGCTCTTTGTGAGCTGAGATTAATTTCAAATTTATCACCCCCGATAAAAGGTTGCGGGAGGTGGATGATTTTTAGTTTTAAGTTTTTAGATGATTGATTTCATTTCAGATATTTAAACATTTAATGGATTTGAGATTTGACCCCTCCGGTTGAGATATTCGATCAACACGGCTATCATCGGGGTGATATTGAGGTCACTTTTATTTTTGTATGGGTTTTGGGAGGCATTTTATATTTCAAGTCATGTCGACTCCAGTCCTTTTGAAGAGGAGGATGAAACTTGAATATTAGACCCGTGCAACATTCTCGAATCATCGGATTTGGGACTTAGATGTGACGATTGGACACATGCGGGTTGAGTATTTAATCCTGCGCAGCATTCTCGACGATTTGAGTTTGTAACTTTAATAGTTATGTTGGAGCACATGCAGGGATGTATTTAGTTCAATGGATCATATTTAATATTTAAGGGGTGTTTTAAAATATTTAAATATGATCAATTTGTGAGAGCAACAAAATTACTTGAAGAAAGAAAATTTTGATGTGGAGCATTGTATCCATAATAATCATCATTATATTGGACTATATTTTATGTAACTAGACCACACTATTTTATTTGATATTTATAAATAGTGAGTGATGTTAAATATAATGAGGTGTTATTAAATCATTTTCATGTGTTTTAAGTCCTCACTATACATTTGAGTCACACCAAGTTATGGATCTTATTAACTTTTGATATTATTTATTTAGACTTATGTATAATAAATTTCAATAATATATATAAGGGTGTATTGTGTAATGCCACTTGAAATTCCAAGTCTCCTTCCCCCCCTTTTTTTATTGAAATTAATTATATGAAGTGTTCTTCATTTTGTTCCAAAATTTTTTTATAAGTCCAAAATATTATTCTATGTCCCGAATTTTTAAGAAAATTTTGACAGCCTCCCGGCGTCCCCTCCTCGATGCCGGGAGGTAAGAGAGTGCTCGACTCGGCCGGATCAAATCGAAGGCAAGGAGATTTGGTCTTCAGAAGCTTTGATGATCGCCAGTTGTAGATGATTGGTTGTTAGGACTGCAAGCGAACCAAACGTTCGACGAGCTACTCGTTGTTCGGTTCGATTAAAGCTCGTTTGCGATCGTTTAATTAACTAAACAAACAAACTTGAACAATATTTTAAATACTCGATTCTTAAATAAACAAACTTGAACACTAATGCGTTCGGCTCATTTATGTTCGCGAACAACATCATTTGAAGTTCGTGAACAAGCTCGACATTAAGCTCGATTCGTGTTCGATTTTGAACTCGTGAATAAGTTCGATAAAAATAATTAATATTTGACTAAAGAATTAATAAATATAAATAATCATTACCTTTGTTACATAAGCAATTACTTTTATTATAAATGTTTTTGTTCATAGATATGTCCATGAACGTGTTTGCTTGATAGTTAAAAAAATTCGTTAAATATGTTCGCAAACAAGCTCGATAAACACTAAACGAACGAACATGAACTGAACATGAACCGAACATGAACACTCCTTAATTTAAACGAACCAAACATGAACACAAATGCTAAAGCTCGAACAAACATGAACCAAACATGAACAAGCTGATATTAAATGAACACTCACATACTCGGCTCGGCTCAGTTTTATTTTATATATTATAATATATTATATAATATATAATATAATATTATATATATACATATATGATATGATATCTATTATAATATAATATATATCATATATTATTATATAATATACATATTATATATATTATATAATATATATATTATTATCAAAACAGAGAGAGGGATCGGGAGAAGCAAAGCCCGATCGTGCTAGGGCAGAGCGGCGAGAGTCACGCACGGGAGGTCTCGGCGACGGTGAAGGCGGCGTCGACTTGGTAGGAGCAGGCTTCGTCGGCGGTGTTCACGACTATTGCAGGAGGTCGACGATGGTGGGAGGCTAGGATCGGCAGTGAAGGAAGGAGGCCAAACGTCAAGTTGGTTTGAAGAAATGTACGGCTTCGATTTGAATTCGCAGAGGGAGTCGACTCAAACGGAGAAGACGAACGAGAGCACAGGTATGGGCTTCGGTTTCTCCTTCTCTGTATTCCTTTGTGTGTTTGAGAGCGTGAGTGAGAACCGAATGAGAGGAGGCGGGTGTTTTGTGCCGTGAGAGGAGGTCGTGGGGAGCAGTTGCCGAAACATGGGATCGTGGGATGAGCAGTTGTGTCGTGTAAGCCGGATGAGGTGTCGGTCGAGTGTATAGGTTGGGTCTGGTTCATTTCTTACAGGTCAACATTTATGTGATGTCCTTATCATTTACAGTCAGCTACTATTAGACAAATGATTCCGCACCTTATTGCGCATCAAGTTTCTGTTTTTTTTTTCCAATTGGTTCTTCTATTCATCTTGTGTCATATAATGATGATAATTGAGTTGGGTGCCCTGATACCTTACGGTTAGTCATAGGCTTGTGTATGTTTCTTGATAACTCTTTAATCTCATGGATGAGTAAAAAACAACATCATGTGTCTAAATCTTCTAAGTCTGAATATTGTGCTATATTTGTCGCATGTATATAGATTATTTTGTTTGGAGTTATATATAATTTTGTTTTTTCTTAGAGTAAGCCCGCTCTTCTCCATACGGACAATACTAGTGCCATTCAAATTGTTGTCAATTTTATTTATCATGAGCGCACAATACATTGAAGTTGACTATCACTCAGTTTGGGAGCCTCTGAATGTCATATTATTTCTCTTCCTCACATATTCACAAATCTTCAAATTCAGGACATATCTATGAAGTTCATGACATGATAATAACATCGGTTTCTTGTGAGCAAATTGATCCTCCTTGAAAAACCAACATCAATTTGATGGGAGCTATCATCTGTATATGCCTTAATATTATACCATATGTATCTGTCTGTTGATTATGGCTGCAAACTTGTTAGTATAAGTGTAAATATTTGTTCTTTAGGAATATAATTATAGTTACCTTGTTAGACTAAAATTTAATTGAGAAAACCACTCACTTATTATCTTTTATGATATTCATTCCTTTTTATAATAATGAGGAGAACGTTTGATATTCCGTTTTAAATTTCCATTTTAGATAAGTCTCAGTAATGATTTTACTACTAACTGGCTCCATTTTTAGATTCATTTGTGAAGTCATAAGTAAATTCTATGAACTTCATTGAGAAGGATTGTTCAGATTAAGCAATTACTAGGACATAATGGCCTGGTGAAATTGTGATTTTACCTCACCACAGAGATGAGATATCTAATTATATCATGTCAAATGGGTCATGGCGAACAAACTAAAAAATACTTCATGCAATTTACCATTTGTGAATTGGTTTCGTTTATTTCTAATTCAGTTTTGGCTATCATTTCTTTTGGGAGCTTCGAAGCCATAGACAGTCCAATAAACTATTGTAAATAGGCTGTAAACTAATTTTATCTTGTTCATGATTTACAGTAAGTGATAACCTGCATAGAAAATGTTATTTATGGAGCTGTGGAGTGAGTTGTCCCCTCTGAATATATTTTTGTTACCTGTAATTTATTCAGGTTATGAATTATTAGCCTTACTCGAGAAGTATTTATGCATGAAAGCCCCCCTTACTAAAAGCCTTAATATCATTTTTTTTAAAAAAATTAGTTCTAGCTGGTGTATTATATTTATAATTTTATTTTCTTTTGAATTTCATTTTCCTGTTTTTGAATGATTTGTTTGCAAGGGGGAATTGCCAAAAAGTTCTTGAATTGCCAAATCTTCATTTTTAAGGAGGTTGAGTGAGGGAGATAGAGAGAGAAGAAAATGTAGATATTACCTGTGAATCAATCAAAGAAATTTTGGGAGGTCATGTATCACTAACCTCCACAAAAGATAGAGAGGGTGTATGAGACTCTTGACAATGCCTGATTTGGAAGAGGATGATGTACATAATCTTGTACTTTTTGGTTTGAATCGTTGAGCTACAGGTCACGATTCATCATAATGATCATCATCATTATTAGCCTTATCGCAGCTATTTGGGGGTCACCCTTATAAGCTGTCATTCTTCGTTCACCTCTAACGATTGCTAAAGTAAATGAAAAAAATTGTGTAATTTTCTTGCAAGCATTGCCAAGTTACCATCAGTCCACTTCCAAATCACAATTAAGATAATCTAAACATTTCTATCGGGTGACCCTTAGTGATAGATGCGGAGGGGACCTTTCAAGAGGCCAGCAGACAACTATCCTCAAATATGAGAGGCTCTTTAGTTTAGTTGGGTCGTGGTGCTGGAGTTGGTTAGAGAAAAATATGGTGGTTTTAAAAGAGATTGTCTGGGGTCATGAGAAGATTCTTGGTATTTTCTTGAACTTGTTGGTAATTCTACAAAATTTTATTAATTCACTATCTTCAATTTCTCATGGCAGGAAGGAGTGCCACTGTATGCTCTTTCTTACACCTGATAATGATTTTGCTGGGAGGGAACAGGCATGTTCTACTTTACTTTTTAAATATATTTTTCTCTGTTCAATTGCTTAGGTTATTAAATGGCCATCATTATCTTAAGCTGATGTATTTTGATGTCACCTCAGCATAGATATGAGACATGTATGAAAAACGATCCTCGCCATAAAATAATTGAATATTGTCCTCTCAAAGATGCACTCTATTCCATGTTGCTTCAAAATTTAGTTTATTTTTATTTTTGTAATGAAGTAGCTCTTTTAGGTGAGTTATCATATAATTGTGTTATTTCCAAGATTTGTGCATTTTTCCCAACAATTTCTTATAACATTGCATTATCTCACATAATATAGTAGATTTAGCAGTTCTTTATGTTAGCTTGAATTTCTTCAGATATTATTATGGATCCAATGATGGTTGATTGTGAAATGAAATTTAATACGAATGAGAGCTGCCCTATTGATCCACCATTTCTCCAAATTTCAGCCTACAGTCCACCTCTCTCATGGGGATCTAAATGTTAATTTTTATTTATAATATAAATAAAAAATGTAAATATAAACATGTGTGATTAGAATATGCTGGTTGCAGTAGTTAAGAAGGGGGTGAGCCAAAATAACATTCCTTGGTGTGAATATCAAAGTTCCCTCTTTCATTACCTCACATTTTTTCCTATAAATATAAATGCAATGCTCCAATCCATCGCCCCACTACGCTCATGCTCCCCCCATAACTAACCACATGCATATGCAACTAACCAATTGCAACGTATTGCAAGTCATTAAGATTAACTAATATGTCACTAGATATAATTTAATAATTGAAAATATTAGAAGTAATGTTTATTGATTTAAACTTGGATTTCTTAGGTTTTGTTATTATCATCAACATCAACCTTACCCTAACTATTTGAAAGTTGACTTTTTAGTGTTGAGTGTTGTACATGTTGACTTATTTATCATAAATAACTTATATTTATGTTATCTTAGATCTACCACTTGTTCTTCCTAATTCTCCATCACTAATTTTATCTACTTATATAATTGATTCGATTCCTACCCTTTATTATACATGTCGAAACCATCTTAGTTTATTTTCAACTATCTTATTAATCAAAAGATACTATAATCATCCCTTTAATATAATCATCTTAATTATCCTTTCTAGTTTTACTATATATCCATCTAAACCAACTCATTTTCATCTTGCTCAACTTAGTTATCAATCATTGTATCATTACTTTCCTAAATGAACCAACTATTGATTTGGAAAGTATTCTAATTCGAATTCAAAGAAATTTGAATTTCGAATTCATTCCTAATTAATATTTCATATTTTAGGAAGTTTCCCAATTACAACAAATCTGAAATTAATTCAAATTTAATTCCCCAATCAACAATTAATGCAAGGATCCACATACATCGAATGTGAACACCCTTTCCCTCCCTACTTTGGTCGGGCCCCCTATTCCCTCTCTTTTAATTAATTCTTCCTATTAAGGCTATCAATCAACACCCTTTCTTCAAGTTGGGCCACCCCCCTTATTCCCCCATTAAAGGAGATTCAAATTTTAAAATTATACCCTCCTTTCCCTTATAAAATCGGAAATTAAAATTTAGATTTTAATTTATTGCCCCTTCACCCACATAAACCAAAAGCTTAAATTAAAGAGGCCTATTCTCCTAACCTTGGTCGACCACTCCAACCTCTCCCTCTTCCTCTTCTTATCTTCTCCCTTATTTCATACACTCCCAAGGGAGAAGTTGCACAACCCCGGCTTATTCCCCATAATGGCCGATCCTGAAAGAGACCATGGATTCATATACGATTATCAAGGAAGAGTAGATGTGTCGAGAATCGAGATCACCTTTCTTCGATCTCAACTTGGAGATTAACCAGACTGTTGATGACTACGTCGACTTGATCCTCTTTACTTTGATGACAGTCATCGACGAGCATCAAACCTCCTGACAGTGGCATGTTTTTTAACCTCCACCGGCTAAGTTTAGTTGGGCAATACTGCAGATGTCCTCTGTCTTTTAGTGGCGTCATTAAGTTTGCTGAAAATACTCTTCCGCTAAAACAACCCTCAAGAGTGAGAGTGAGGGAAACTCAAGGTGAAATTTCTATTTGTTAATCGGTGGATCTCTCTTATTTGTGCATCTAGCTTTACTATAATTTTGTTGTTATTTTAAATTACCCTTCTAACCTAGTTTGTAACCACACGCCAGCGCAAAACAACAACTAAGTGATCCTAGAATCAAATCTTGTGAAACATTAATTTTAAAATTAGCAAGCTTAACAATTTTTATTAAATTCATGTAATTCCTATTATGTTTCACATCAGTTTGACATCATATCCTTAACAAACTTTCAGTAGTAACTAGTGAGCCCTAAGAATCCCTGCATTTTCGTCCAGTTTTTAGGAAGAGGCCAAACCCACCATGGACTGAATCTTGGACTAGTCAGCTAAAACAACCCTACCAAGACAACACATGTCCTATGTACTTCACTTGTTTACTTGTGATTGCCCAAATGTGCATTTCTTCCTGTTGGAAAATACTTGATGCTCCTTATTGTCTTCATGACAGTTTTAAGTGCTCCCAATGTTCTGCCTCGATCCTGCTGTATATCAAAATGTCATAAAAAAATACTAGCACAAACCTTCAGAGGTTTGGCTGGAACACTCTGTTCAGAAGTGATTTGAAGGTGGCAAGGGTGTTGGTGAGGCCGAAAGGCTTCATCAGGAACTCGTGGTGTCCTTTCATGTGTCCTGAAGGTCGTCTTGTGTACATCTGCCGTCTTCATCCTTATTTGATAGTATCAATCTTATAAAATATCTCCAAATAACTCATCTAAGAGTTCATCTATCACTGGGATTAAAATCTTATCTAACATCGTTTTCTTGTTTAGATCCCTGTAATCTACACAGAACCTTCAGTTATCATCCTTCTTCTTTACTAATAGTACCGGGCTAGAGAAAGGACTTACACTAGGTCTGATGATCCTTGCTTCCATCATCTCTCTGATTAGCCTTTCTATCTTATCCTTATGGATACTAGGGTAACAGTTTGGTCTGACACTGATAAGAGTAGTCCATTCTTTCGAGTTGATGTCATGCTCGTGCTCTCGAGGCGACAGTAACCCGACCGGTGGTTGAAATACATTTTGATATTATTGTGAAAACTAATGGGTTCCTACTTGAATATCCCTTGCCTCCTGTTTTTGGACCCCTTCTATGCTTTGCAACTCTACCAAATACCCTAGGCCTGCATCTTGGATTGTCTTGAGCATGATTTTTAAAGAGACCATGGTCTTGCATAGGCTGGCATCCTCTTGAAGTTCTTCCTTCTTCCCCTCTACCTGTATCTCCATGGTCAAGGACTTCTAGTTCTCCTTCATATCCCCCATAGTTTGTAACTACTTCATCCTTAGAATCATATATGTACTTCCCAAGTCCAAAGGAAGGAAATCTTCCACCACCTGAACACCCTACAAGGTCATCACCACCCCTCTACATCTCCCCCTGCTCCTCTCTATCTTGCCTGTGCCCATCATCACCCCGCATCCTTTCGTTCTTGCTAACTTGAATCTCAATCGGTCCACCACCCAATTTGAGATGAAGCTATGTGTTGCTCCACTATCCACCAGAACTATCACCGATTGCTCTCCAATTTGCCCTCTCACTTTCCTCTCACTTTTATGGTGTGATTTGGAGTAAATCCCACCATAGAGTTCAAGGACACATCCGCCATACCCAAATGCAAATTCTCTGTCTCCTTCAATACCCGCTCTCCTCTACCCTCTCATAGACTATCTAGACTTGAAGGGCTTGATTTTTGCACCTATGCCCGAGTGTAAATCTCTTATAACATCTGAAGCATAGCTTTTTTGCCCACTGATCCTGCATGTCTGCTTTTGTGAGGCATTTGAAATTGCCTCCAGGATCAACTCTAGTGCTCTTCTCCTTAGGTACTTTTTTCTGAAATATCATCGTCTGGTTCCTTAGTGCCAAGGTAGTGGAAGTCTTCCTGCAAGCCCCGCCCATGGAATTGCTCCGACTGGCTTTCTCCCTCTAATTTTCTCCTCCACCCTTTATGCTAGCTCCATCATCTCTCTCAGCCCTCTAGGCGTTAGTACCCTGGGCTCTGCTCATATTTCCTCCCTAAGCCCTTTCATGAAATTCCCCTCCAACCTTTCCTCTGAGATTCCCCTAATATCCTTAATAGAAGCTCAAACTTCTCCAATTACTCCATAATTGTCCCTCATAAGCTAGGGCATAGAACTGCTCATGGGGGTCTCCTTTTCAAATGACTCATAAACATTCTAAGAAGCACACCTTTAATTCTTGTCATGAGTAGATCGAATACCTCGCCTCCCTCCATTAGAACCATGTTAGGGCTTTCCCTTCCAAACATAGACCTATCGTCATAAGTTTTTCCCCTTCCATCAGCCCATTCAAAGACCAACATCTTTAGCTTCCTCGATCTTGTATCCATACCCCAATTGTTTCTTCCACCATTAGTTCCTCCTATGTAGTGGTTTTGTGACACTTCTTCCCTTGGTGAATTTGGATCCCATGGTTTGGCCCAACCGTTGCCCTCTCCGGCCCACTTTCCCTCCTGCCTGGGTTGTCTCTAAAAGGCTTTGGCCTCCCCTCTCCTTGCTCACCCTTCTTCGGAATACCTTGATGCACCTTCCATCGGAGCCTGTCGGGATGGTTCTTAAAGAAAAATCATCTCAACATCATCGTTGTCTTCCTGAAGTCTCTTTTCTTTCAGATCAGCCTTAGGACTAGCTGATGAAGCCTTTGACTGCATCTCGATTAATTTCCTCATTAGGTCTTGTTCTGAAATTAGTTTTCCATTCGGATTTCCATGGACGATAGCCTTCCTTCCATTCTAAAATATTTTTTCTCCATCCCGGCCTTGAGTTGTTCCATCTCTTCTTTTAGCGCCTCCATCTTCTATACTTTTCATTCATGGATTTAGGTTCTCAACCACTAAAAACAGCAAAAAATAGCT